AGGAGAAATATTCGTGTGATTTGACAAAATGGCGAGCAACTCTATACTACTGGAAATCTTAGCTGAGGTTTAAATCGTAAATGAAAGCTATAACTCATTAGAGGACAATTCAGTAGCACTGCTTTGCCTGGTCACCAAGAATGCTTGTGCTTGGACTGTTAACTGAAGGGCAGCAGGCAAGTGGTTTTCAAAACAGTCTGTTTCCTCATGTACAAAAATGACAGGAGTAGGGTAGCACCACGTTCCCGAAAGCTCCTTTTACGACTAAGAGGTTAAGATCTGCTCCCACGTCTATTTTTTCGCAGGAGCAAATAGAACTTCAGAGCAATTCATTTATTTTACGAATGCTTTGTCCCATGAGAATTATCTATGTTTAGACAAGCAATTTGCCAAACCTCTTTTGGCAGGTCATCATCTTTACTTTTTTTTATTTTTTATTTTTTGCCTTCTCTTTATCAAATCTTCGTGGAACACCTACATTCAGCGAAGTAATAACAGTTATACAAAGCCCTGGAAACGACGAGACGCCTCCGTGCTTAAACAACGCGGCTGGTGGCAGATACGCGAGACGACTAAGTGTGAGCTCCGGGGCACCCGTAGATCGGATTCTCTGGCTCAGGCACCGGAAGTGGCCGCTCCGCGGCGGCTCCCTGGCCCTTAGTGCAAACTCGCGCGGCTCCCCCGCAGTGTTCCGTAAGCCACTAGGACTTCGAGAGCATGGAGGCAGCGCGCCCTCCCCCGGCGGCGGGGAAGTTCGTGGTGGTCGGCGGCGGCATCGCGGGCGTGACTTGTGCGGAGCAGGTAGGGCGCGCGCGCAGGCGGCTCCGCCTCTTTTCCGACCCCGAAGGTGGTGGCGCTGGAGGCCTCCCACCCGCCCCCTACCTCGTCTTTCTGCTGGCTCCCTTTTTAGCCGGACCCTTTCCCCCAACACACACTCCTTCTTGCTCGCAGATACTAGGAACTGCGCGGTGGCCTCCAGATGATGTCGTTAGAACCTCGCAAGCTTTATGTCAGGCGCAGGGAGGAGTGGGGAGCAAATTATTAGCGGAGAAGCCAAAGCTGGCTGAAGCAGGCTCTGATCCCAGTATAATGCCAGAGCAGACAAGAACACTTTGTATTTGCACAGAAAATTCAAACCCCCAGTCTTAGCTGATTGAGTTCAGTTTGCAGATAGTTACCAAGTCGTTAGTGAATAGTAAACCCTTACATAAGTTTCCTGTACTTTGAACTCCCAAGATAGAAGATACTTTATCTCTAGTAGTGTTTTGTAAAACAGTGAGGAAGGAATTAAATGCAGCTAGGGAATGCTTTTCTGGTTATGATGAATAGACTGACCCAAGGACTAGATTATCTTGTTGATAAAAAGTAAACATAAGGAATCACTGGTATCATAAGAAATAGTGCAAGAAATCCAAGAGTTTTTCAACTGTTCATCTTTGAATATGTATTTTCCATTTATTCATCAAGTCAACACCTATGATCCAGGCACAGTACTAAGGGCTGAGTAGTAAGATATAAACAGCATGGTACCCCGTGCTAGGGATTCAGTCTAGTGGAAGAGACATCAAGCTGTTATTTTAAGGTGGGGTGCCTAAGAAGTTCGTAGGGAGTGAATTAGGGAAGAGGTATCTTTCTCAAAGGAGGAATCCCTTTATCTCATTATCAAAGAATGTGTGAAAGTTCACCAGGTAGACAAGAAAAGACAGACATATGAAAGAGAGGCTAACAGTGTAGTCTCCAGTGGAAAAGCGTGGCACCATCTGGTAGCAGCAAAGCTTAAAGCACACAGTGCTTGGGGGAGGTGACCACAGATGAAGCAGGGAAGGTTGGCACAAACCAGATCATAGTTTTGTAAGTCACCCTAAGAACTTAACAAGAATGTACAAGTAGTCAAATGTTTTTGAGCAGTGGAGTAAAGTTACCAAATGAAAATTTTGGAAAGATGATTAGTTATATTTGGGGCAGAGGCAGCTAGTTAATATGAGACTGGAAAGCCAATTTGAAGGTGATTTCAGTAGTATAAAGAAATTTTGAGGACCTGATCTAGAAGTGGAAACAGAAATGGGGGAGATAAATTACAGAATATACGAAGAAAAGATGGACAGAATAATAATGTTGCCAAATATTATAGAAAGTTCAGATAAGGTGAGGCTAAAAAGAATCCCATGGGTTTTAAGAATGGACTGGTAACCTGAACGTGCTCAGTTTTAGCGGTGCAGTAGGGATAGAAGCCAGGTTATAGAGGTTGGTGGAGTGAGGAACCAGACCTTGAGATAAGAAAATGCTTTCAAGAACTTCAAAATGAGAAAGATAGAGGTTGTAGCTAGAGGCAAATAATGAAACAATAGCAAGTTACACCTCTAAATTTTGTTAAAGTTATTAAAATGGCTTTGTCTTCCCAGACTATATACTGATTGGAAGAGGCAGAATAGTATCAAAGCTTAGGAAAAGTCAGACTAAGATTCTAAGTGTTTAATGTTGAGGGTTTGCTTTAATTTCATCCCATTGAAGGCAAATTAATATTACTTTAAAATAAATAGTAGTTGGTTTAACTGTTAATTAGGAGGATAATTTTCTTCTCATCCTCTGCATGATAACTCTAAATTGGTATACCAAAT